ACACAGGGATTGTTGTATGGTGCACACAGGGATTGTTGGGTGATGAGTACATACAGGGATTTGCTATGATCTTTGTGATGTAATAATAAAAGTATATAACAAGAAGCATATCATTGTTATTTATTGACATTATCTATTATCTATTTGTTTACATATTCTTCCTCTTTACAAGCTAGTGGAATTTCGTTTCTTATATTTGTCCATAGTCATTCTACTGGTAGACGGAATGTCAAAACAAATATCAATCATGATATGATCTTGTAGATCAGGAACACAGTAATTATATTAGTGGTTATATCATCTATTCTGTTATAAATATTCTAAAATATTATGGGAATAGATAGTTATGTTTTCACTTAATTGGATAGCTATGTTTTCACTTAATTGGATCGAATGTAAAATCTTACTAATTCGTAGCAAGCAAAAAGCTTTAGTGCAATTTTTATAAACATGCGATCTAGGTGTCTGCGAGCTGCAGGCTGCTGAAATTTGGTTTTTCGCTGCCGCCAGTCAAAAATTTGAAAGGTACCAACTTATTAGGTTTGATTGACGGCGATGAAATACCAAATTTCAACGTGCAGCTCGCAGATACACAGGCAGCCCAAACAAGGTTGCTGTGTATGGTTTATAAGGGAATGTCTAGAAGAGCGGATTTTGAAAAAACCTACTAAACGGCCTTGAATCGCGCTGAAACTTCGCCAGAAGACTGAACAAAGTAAAGGCAACAACTGCAGCAAGTTTTGAGGCAAATTGCTGAGTGAAGCATTTTATTTTCGTAACTTTATCATAACTCCAATACATTCCCTTATAAACCATACACAGGAACCTTGTTTGGGCTGCCTGTGGCAGATACAGAGTTCGCATGTTTATGAAAATCGCAGTAAGGATCGTATATAAAAAAAGGAAATTACATTATGGTGGAAAGGAAGTTAGTTGTTTCTCCCGTTCACCGGCAAAGTTCTATTGGAGGGAAAAATAACACCAGATATAAGTCACTGCAAAGTAGGCATTACAAAATGAGAAGTTTATTTTATGGGGTATCTACAGGACTATTATATTATATTCAAACCAATTCGGAAAACATAATATATAAAATATAGTCATCTCCTAATTGCTACAAAAGGAAAAAAATATCCTAGTTGCTCAATAGAATTTCAAAATTTCGCGTCATGTTCTTTTTGTTCCACTGACAAAACATCGGTAGACAAGCATCTGAAACTTCACTAACAATAATATCTGCATTATCAAAACGTTGAAGACTCTGACTAGAAAAAGAAAATAGATATTGATACCCTAAAACAACCTTCAGCCTGATCGAAGCTAGGGCAAGGCTAACTAGCTTGTTAGATTTTGCGGAGAGAGGAAAACCGGAAAAAAAACCTTGAGTCAAGGAAGAGACCTAACATATTCTACTCATATGTGATGCCGAGTCAAGGAATCAAACACGAGACCCCAGAGGTGAGTGAAATGTGCAATACCACTACTGACTCCCTTTTGTACCACTAAGGATCAAAGCTAATTGTTGATGACTGTTCGGTGACTGTATATTAATTATTACATCAATATACACGTGTGGAAATTTTACCAGTTGAATGGCAACCTTCCAAAACAAAATGGATACATTGGCAAGCTTCCAAAACAAAATGGATACATTGGCAACCTTCCAAAACAAAATGGATACATTGGTAACCTTCCAAAACAAAATGGATACATTGGCAACCTTCCAAAACAAAATGGATACATTGGCAACCTTCCAAAACAAAATGGATACATTAAAAATAAAGCAACTGATTCTCAAGAGAATGACACGTGGTCTGAAATGGGAAAACATACCCGAGTTGGAGGTCTATATATTGTTTCAAAACAGTAAATAGTAGTCTATATAATAGTAGTCTGTAATGGTAGTCTACATAATAGTATCCATTAAAATTGATATCAATATAAGGTTCTCATCAATCATAATGATCATCAATTAGAGTAAGAGTTAAGTTCAGATTGAACAAAGCTGACCTAGTATTTCCGAGTACCAAACTTCTTATTTGGTGTTATTAGTTATTAATTATCAGATATTTGCTTCAAATAAAACCTTTTTTAGCAAGACAAAAAAAGACCCACATAAAAATACTTAAAATGTGTTTGAAATAAATGTGTCCTGCGCGAGGACTTTCGTAATGTCGATCAATGCGCCATGACTTACCGCAGGCTTGATCGATATTCCAAAAATCCCCACGCAGAACGCGTGCGCATTTTCAAATGAATCGTTTATTTTCAAAAGGGAGTTCCTTCCATCTAAACATCATGGTCGAAAGTTCTCTGGCAAGTAGAGGTATAAGTCGCTACGAAGCGCGTTCTCCATGGGCCATTGGTACAGTGAGGTTTTGTACTTTGGTAGAATAATTGCTTGCCTTTTGGCGTCGAGGGACTTCAGTGGTTTCACGTCATTTCTTGTCTTATGCTGCACATGGTGGTCAGTGTTTGACCACCATTTGGAGTAGATAATGAGATTCAAAGACTTTTATCAGCTGATTGAAACCCAGCAATAGAATTCTTTCTGGTTGACAGCACATGGTGGTCAGTGTTTGACCATCATTTGGAGTAGATAATGAGATTCAAAGACTTTTATCAGCTGATTGAAACCCAGCAATAGAATTCTTTCTGGCTGACAGCACATGGTGGTCAGTGTTTGACCATCATTTGGAGTAGATAATGAGATTCAAAGACTTTTATTAGCCAGTAATAGGGTTCTAGGCTTAAGAAACACATCCTTGAAAAATGTTGAAAACCGGCATGCACAAATCCCCATAAATTTAAAAAACATTTAAGAGAAAACAAAGTAGTTCATTTTCCCTTGGTACATCTTACTTTGTCGTTGGTGTCCATAATGCCATTGTAAACGTCTCACTGGCTATCAAACAACACATCTTGATGAGATATTAGCAATTCTATAGCAAGTCTTTGAAATTTCAAGTCGTCTAGAGTGTTAAGGGTATCTCCTTCAGGTGACCTCATCATGGTTGGACCGAACACGATGGAAAGGTTCTCTTCTGACATCATATTTTGACTCTTGTGCTGTGATACCCTACATTAAGTGAACAAAATAAACAAGACGATTGAGGTCATCTTTACCAATCCAACTAGTGGTCTATCATCAATGCTGCGTTCTGATTGAATAAGCTACTACTAGGCTATAAGTTAAACCCTACTACTAGCGAAAAGCGTCGGCTTTCAGTTTCAAAACCAAAACATCAAATTCAACTTTAATTTAAAACTTGTTTGCACCTAAATATTTGACCAAAACAATTAGTCCTCTTGGCCTCATGGCCTAAGAGTTATTACAAAATAACTGTTATTAATCTCGCGTTCTGATTGGTTGTAAGTACTTAAGGGGATAATCCCATTTCCCAGCCCCCATTTTGACCAAATCCCATAGTCCTAGCCTATGCTTTTGCTCAATTCTCAATCCCATTTTTTATTGTCTTTTCGCTAAAAAAATCCCATTCCCAGTGCATAAAATCCTATTTTCCAGCCCCAAAAAGACAAATCCCAGCTCCTATTTCACATCTCGCTCAAGGACCCTCAAAACAATAACCGATTCAAAACTCGAATTCGGATTGGATTATGGTGTTCCTTGTATTCCTAACTAATTATCTTATCTCTCTTTATGAAGGTTAAAAGTTCAATACCTGTATAAATGTCCCATTAGAAATTTAATAGTCTCGAAATGTGGTTGAGGTAGTTCAGTCAAGGCTTTGGCTAGTGCTTCAATTCGAAGAAACTTGTCTTGAATTTCTGTGAACACATCATATTCCATATTATTATATAATTACCAATGAAATATCTATTTTTCTCTATTTCGAAAAATTGATATCTTCACACGTGAAAATAACATGTTATTTTCACGTGTGAAAATAACACCATTGCGATGGCTATTCGAAAATACACGAAAAGAATTGCCTGAAAAAGCCAAAACATACTTTCATTGATAATTATATAATAAACAGAATATTACATGGGCGCTTGGAGATACGAAATTTATCTTCTCGTGTTGAAAATCTCTCACTCGTTCGCTGCGCTCACTTGTGAGAGATCTTTTCAACACTCGAAGATAAATTTCGTATCTCCGCGCGCCCATGTAATATCCTCTATTTATGTATTGTGAAGATACAGACATAAGATAAGCTACAGTTTGTACTGTTAAATTTATGAGATTTTTTGTAAAATGTTAAGAATGAAAAAGTCTGCCCATGCTCCTTGGAAATGGAAATTATTGAGTCGAAAATGTCAAAATTATGCAAACTTAATTTTCAGACTTGCCAGATAAATGAACTTTGCAAGAGGCCAAAACTTTGAGTTGGTTATTAAAACTACCAATTACTTGATATTGTCTTTATTACTAGTTGAGTATTATGAGTGCGATTGCATCTCAATACACGGTCAAACGCTCTTGAATATTTGGGAAACGTGAAATGCACGCATGCAAACGTGTTTTCTATAGAGTCGACGGAAATCGCGATTACAACACAGCACAGTTTCTGCATTTGAACAAGGAAATTTTCCGTAAAGCTAAAATCCACCTTCACGGTTTGGAACTGACGATGAAACGGATTTCGTGTCAAAAACTTATGATACGCACGTGTCGTGCTGTGCTGTGCCTTGATCATGACCGAGATGCCGAGCATTTTGATTGGAT